TCTGAGAATTGTTCAAATGGGTCAATATTGTATCGAAGTGTACCACCAAATAGTACTGGCACTTGCGGAATGACACTTAGATGAGAACGAAGATGATCGAGTGAAAGACGTCCAATATCGATGTCGTCGATTAGAATGGTTCCGTTGATTGCTGACTGATCGACCAATCGAAAGAGAGCTTGAATAAGTGATGACTTTCCAGCACCTAGACAAAAAACAGATACTAATAAATAAATTTTTCCCAGAGAAGAATCATAGGTTCCCCCTAGTGAAAATACTCATCAAGCGAGTACGACTTTCCAGCGTGAGTACTCATATTACTCACGCGAGTACTCGAGGAATTTTATGTGTATTTTTACTCTCCGTGTACTCTAATGAGTACTCGTACGAGTGTATTTTTAAAAATTTACTCATAGGCAGACAGATGAGTACTCAAAGTCGTACTCATGCTGGTTGTTTCGCAGAATATTTAGCAAGACACTTATGCATTAGCATATACAAAAATAAATTGGAGCTATATAATAAAAAAAACCAATGTAATAAAATGAAAAATAGAGAAAATCAATTGAATAAATTATTTATTTTATACTCTATTTTTTTTGGATGAATCATTTGTACGGATAAAACAAATGGTGACTTTAATATAGAAAAGAATAATGATTTTTCATTTTCATTTGTTCAATTTTTCGGAAAGATTAAGTTTTTTCTAAATATATTAATGTAGATTCGTTTTTATTTTATTTCCTAAGCTTAGGCCAAAATTCTTTCATTAAAATGCAATTTTTTTAGATTGATTGTAGAATATCATGGAACACAAGACAGTTCGCAAATTGTGTTACAAATCGATCGCGATTTTAAAATAAGAAGATGTGTTAATAAACTATAGACAAATAATTTTATTTTGTATTTATTTTTTTGTAAATTTCCTGATGATTGTAAATAGCGATGGATTTAAAAATGTCTGTTTAGTTTTCTAGTGTAATAAGCAATACTGTACGTTCATTTATTGTCACGTTTCTCATCGTCGTTGATTAATTTATTATTTTTCTGCTTCAGTGTATTTTACTGTCCTTAATTTATGTCTTATTGTACTCTCATTCTCTAGGATATAGACAAAGAAACTTTTATTGTTAGAGAAAATAATTAAATATTTCTTTTTTCTTTATTTTATATAATGAAAGTACGTTTTAATTTATTTTTTCGAAAGAAAAATGAAAAGAATAAATAAAATTGTATTTTTATGGTATGTAAATACAGAAAATATTTAAATTTCTTCGCTCCTAATAAAGATTTCTATGTCTGTAATCTTTACGTTAAAATATATGAATCTGGTATCAAATTTGTCGTTCTCATGTTGATCATTTTTCTCAAGCTTTCATTATGTCCTCTGTTTGTTGGTAGTATTTTAATATTAAATAAAAATTAATGTAGTACAACGGTACTAACCAAAAATATGCTTATAAGTATCTTACATAGGTCAGCAGAGCACACAGATACTAGATAGTAGTACTCACAAAACACTCAATATTACACAGCGAGTACTCGATTGTCGTACTCAGATACTCAGATTCTAGCAGGAGTACTACTGATGAGTACTCAAAATGCGTGAGTACTCATGAGTACTCGTGACATTTTCTAGCGTGAGTACTTTTTGAGTACTCGCCTATGAGTAACTTCACTAGGGCCAATATTTCAGATCTGTTGAGAGAATACTGTACATTGTAAATACACATTGTAAAATATTCTACATGAAATGGCGAAATTTTCCTTCAGTCAGTTGCTGATAAGATCGTATTGATAAGAACAGCAAGTAATAACTGATAGGATGTTCCGTTCAAAAAGTAAAGTTTCTCATCAATAAATCGCTTCAAATGAGCGTTCGAAACCAGTTACTGGTAGGACTAGTCCCATATGGTATGTGGCTGCTATTTAAATGCCTCTTTTTGCTCGAAAGCACTTGTTTATGAGTTATGCAAACTAAGAATTGGATAGTATCGACTTCTATACTCTTTGAAGTAGAAGAAATAAATGACTCGTCCGTTATATGAAATGATCGTAATTAGAAAATAAACGTCTTTGTGAGATGAATCATGTTAACCTTATACAGTTGTTGCAAATGAATGCACAGAATAATCTGCCATTTTTTTCAAAAAAAAACAATTCACTGCTGATAAATATCTTTTTGTAAAACGAACTCATACGAAACTGAGACAAATCTTTTGAACTACACAAATCCTAGAAGAAAAATTCGTCACTTCCATGAATTCTCACTAAGACTATGGTGTAGTGCATACTATTCTATGTTGATATGCAGATCTCCTAAGCAACGACTCTTTACACCTAGATCGCATTCGATCAGGTTTCTTTCATAGGTACAGTCACGCTTTATAAATAGAAAAGCATGCAGCAAGAAGTATGATTTAAATAGAAATATGTAATCATAACAGAAACACTTTCAGCCATGGGTTTTCGATAAAAAAAAAGTAAGTATTAGCATTAGTATCTTTCCTTTATACACATATATTTTTTTTTCGACTGATTTCTGATCTCTCTATGAGGAATGCTCATCAAAAATATCCTAGCAATGATGTAATCATACCTGTCCGACCGATAATTCCAATCTTCTCCTTGGATTCAATTCGTAGGTTAAGGTTTTTGAGCACAGGATCGAGCTCTGGTCGATAGCGAAAAGTGTAGTCTTTAAAGTCGATAATACCATGAGATGGCCAATCATCTGCTGGTTGAATGAGTATACTATTTCCATCAATGTTCTGATGGCCTTCTGGCACTAGTTGACCATATTCATGAATACGTTCTGCACTGGTCATGAAATTTTCGGCTTCGGCCGATTGTCGCATAGCCCATTGAAACAGACCGGTTAGAGTGATACAATAGGTAATGCTGAGTGCTGCTGCAGATGGATCGATTTGATGGCGCAAAGCTACTGCAAGAATAGCCGTAATTAAAGTGAGTAAAGATGTTATAAGATCGAGCTGTAAACCGAACCATCGTGCAGTGGCAAAGAGAATGAAGTACGCTCGTGAATTGGTATCGATTCTTTCCATGAACATATTCAAAAAGTCATCTTGAACGTCAAACGCACGGATACTAGTAAGTCCATCTAAGGACGATGAGAACAATTCATAAATTGGACTACGTGTTACACTTTCGAGTCGTTTCAATTGACGACTCGAACGTATGTAAAACCTACGAAGCCACAAAACTGTAGGAACTAAAGGAATAAGAATTAGAAGTACCCATTTATTGGTTATTCCAATGATTGCAATAGAACCGAGAGTCATTAACAAATATTGCATTGTATCAATTAAAGCAAGAGGTAATGATTCATCTAACACTTGTTGATCTTTGCTTGCTCGATTCAATATTCTTCCACTTGGATTACTTTCAAAGAAACGTAAAGAAGTATATAAGATACCTTTGAGCATTCGATTGTGAAAATAGGTCGAACCACACAACATAATCAAGAAGATATATCCGGCACGTATTAATGCAACAATCAATGTAGCAAATATAACTCCAAGATAGACGTAAGCATAAAATGATGATCGTTGCTCATTTTTACTTTTACCAGACCACAGAGCGAGCCAATTATTTGCAAAGTCGTACAAAGCCTCACTACCAAGCATAAAAATTATCATAAGAAAAAAACCAAACCAACGTAAAGGTGGTGCAGTAAATAATTGTAGCCAAACACTCCAGCTGATGCCACCATCGATTGAAGTCTCGCTTTTTACAATCGAGTTTATATCACTTGTAGCAGTATTGAGTGTCCAATCAGTCTCATTATCTTTCGATGAGTCTGTTTCTGACGTAACATTCGATGGGTCTATTTCTAACGTATCATTTGATGATTTATTGACAAAAGGTTGCTCGATGCCTAATTCATCGATGTGACCCTTCCTCAATAGAATTATTTGATCGGCTTCAACTAAAAATTGTGTCTGATGTGTAACTAATATCCGAGTCTTTCCACAAAGGAAACTATGAGAACCAATACATTGATCAAAAATATTCTTGGCTACCTTTGCATCAACAGCTGCCAACGGATCATCGAATAAATATAAGTCAGTATCAGTATAGAGAGCACGAGCCAGTGATATTCGAGCTTTTTGTCCTCCGCTCAAATTAATACCTTTATCACCAATCATTAATAAATCACCGACTTCACCAAAATTCTGAAGATCAATATCAAGACAGCATGCTTTGATGACATTCTTGTAACGTTCTTCATTCATTGGTTTACCAAGAAGAATATTAGCTCGAATAGTGTCAGAAAATATCCATGGCAATTGTGGAGCGTATGAAATAGCATCAACATATATTCGTAATTTTCCACTAACAAGATTGATTTCACCGAGAATAGCAGCTAGAAGGGTTGACTTGCCGGCACCAATAGCACCTTTCACTCCAACTAAATGACCGCTTCTGATCTTGAGACTGATGCATAACAAAGAAGGTGTATCTTTCCAAGAAAACGATGCATCTTCCATGATGATTGTATGATCTCCATTTCCGTTATTCAGTTTTTCACGTTTATTCAACAGCATGTCAAGTTGCATAAACTGATCAATTCTTCTTGCAGAAACACGAGATTCACTAAACTTTTCGATCGCGAATGGCATCGTAATTGTCAATGGAACTCGCAACATGGCGAAGAAGGCTAGTGCTGCGAAAATATTTTCTGGAAGCAAAGTTTGGCCCATCAGCCAACTACCACCGAATGTAGCAAGAGAAATTAATGGTAACACTGCGAAGGAGAGAGCAGTGTTAAGGGCTCTCAAGCTGCTAGATTTGAAAATGTGCGAAAGTTCACGTCGGCGTATTTCATGTACTCGTTGCTCAATTGCTTTTTCCCAATTGTACATTTTAATAATTTGACATCCGTTGACAAGTTCATTGATCGCTTGAACACGTTTGTCTGTGTATATCATTGTGTCCTTTCGATAGTGGCTAAATTGTCTACTGAAAATAATCTGTATAGGTATAAATAATATCAACACTGCATAGCCAAATAATGTTGGTAAACCGATATTCCACCAAACGAGACCAAATGTTATCAGGCTTTCTAGAGGTATCAGTACGAAAGCATGCATAACAGGACATAATTCTTCAAATTTGCCGACATCGTTTGCTACCAAATTAATTGTCTGAGCAGCAGTAGTCTTGTGAAGAGCTGCAGTGTTAATGGTCAACAGATGCTTATAGATAGCAGATGATAATGCAATGCGAATGCGCATGCCTATTCGTGTATTTCGAAAAAAGATTTGTTGGTGAATAATGGACTGTAAGATGGCAGAAATGCAAAGAGCAATAGCGAATAGATAACCAGCGTAAGCAGACAATCGTAATTGATCTTTAATATAGAGCACAATTTGACGAATAAGCAACGGCTGTGCCATACGAACAATAATATATGGAAAAACGAGCAATATACTCATTAGAAAATCTATATAAAATGTTCGCTTGAATAAATACCATGTACCTGACCATCTAGAACTATATGAATTTACTCTATTCAGCAAGAATAAACATTTATCGTTGATAGAAAGATCACTAAGATCGTCTTCAACAAGTTTGCGTTTATTACCCAAGGAGAGAATAGGTATTATCCATGATAATAGTGGTATCTGTATCCATCTTGTCCATGAGGATTTGGCCCAATCCAATCGACATGATTGCCGCTGTTTACCTAGATATATACTTGTATCAAAAATGGAAGTGCATTCTATTTTTCTGCTGAATTAGCTGTAGAGAAGTTTGAAACCTATTTTGTCGTAAAATAATTCTTTTTCATTTTCCTTCTGCATTTGTAACAGAAGTTCTGATTTCAGGTGAAATGTGCATGACTCTCTATTTTATTGACTACTTTATGATTGATATAAAATGATAAATTTTAGTCGTGAGTTCATTTACATTAATAGCTTTCGTCTGTTTTCGAAATTCCATCTCCTTTTTTCCAGACGTCATACATACCTTGGCCAAAGATTTTTGAATTCTATGTCGAAAACCGAAGCTTTTGAAGTCAATATCATTATTGGTATTACTAGCTCCTCAAATGTAAAAATATGGATGAAGTAAAGAATGTTTAGAAGAAATAAAATATCAGAAAATAAAATTTAATGTCATGAAATTATGGTGAAAGAGCTTGAGTCGTAAATGGAATACTATTCTGTGAAGAGATCATTATCTTGCCTATCTTGTTTATTACAAGAGCAATTTTTTTCAGATGAGCAATAGTTCTAAAGTATTATTTGTAAAAGCATATGAATGATATTACCCAAAAACATCACTCTTTCTTTCAATACAAAATGTTCGGCTTATAAATCTATGAAAAGCAAATGTCAAATGTTACAGTCAATTCCATGCAAACCAGACTTATGTATTTGAACTGAATATAGTGAATCTGGTATTGGTACGTTCTTTTAATGATACTCACTTTCCTTTGATGGAGACACTCTAGATGGATCCAGAGAATTTTCATTCTGCAAATTCGGTAGTATTTCTGGAGAAATTCGTGATGCAGAAAAGCTATGAATACGCCGTTGTGCTGCTGCATCGACATTTATTACTTTTCTTCTAGTCATTGTTCACTCTCACTGTCAGCTATTGTAATACTAGTGTGATTGCAAAAACCAATTTATGATCTCTGCTTTTATTGTACAGCATTTTATTACCGGCAACTGCTATTCTCATTATCGTTCCTTATCTCATTGCTAAAGAATTCTGGTGGATTAAGTGTCTTTACTTATATTAATAAATAAAGCATACAATTTTATGCAGTAAATCGAGGCGCACCGAATAATATATAAAACGATTCATCTTTCATCAAGATAAGATAAATG